TTCCTGGGATGATAATATTCTAGCGACTGGGGCCCAACACATCTCACATTTCCTGGTCGCTCCCGCGCGCTCCTGGGCTGCCTCGCGTGACTTATCCACTGTACTCATCATAGATTGCTCCCTGCTGTGTGGAAGCGGGGACCATCGCCAATCACGCGCCTTCAGACCTGTGCTTGCGCTTCCTCGACTCCTGGGCGGCCCCGGGGACGGCCCCCTCCCTCGGGAAGGCTGGAGCTGGATCGGACTTCGCGACGTGGGATCGCATCGGCAACGGCCTGGGGCCGCGAGCGAATCATCCTGAATCCGATCGACATCGGATCGCCGCGCCGGGCTCTGGCCAGACCCAGCCGAAGCCAGTGACTCTGGGGAGACCAACACGCACACATACTGCTACTTCCCGGACCTCTCCCGGGGTGCGTTCTGACCAGGATTTCGAAGTGCCTCTTCCTCCACTGAGGAACCGAACAACATCGAACCGAACTGGAACATCACAGCCCCAGCCGGCGAATCGAATCGCATCGCATCGTGGGCGGCCTTGCCTCGGGTTCTCCCGTGTCGTCCCTCCCGGCTGCCCTTGGGCGTCGCTTACTGGGGTGGCGATAAGATACCCAGATGGACGACGGAAACACGGAATTAACAGATATGTTGAGAGTCGAACAGGCTAACACATCGTACTGCACATTCTACATGTAGACGTGCTGATCTAAAAATTTCATGTTCGTAAGATGAGAAAAGAGAACAGATTCTTGTGAGAAGGGGGGGCGAGAAAGGTGGAATTCTCGGGCCGCCCTAAAGGGCACCTTTTCTGCAGCCCTCCCTCCTCCTCCTCCTCCTCCTCCTCCTCCTCCTCCTCCTCCTCCTCCTCCTCCTCCTCCCAACCCTGAGACCTCAGAACGTCCATCGATGCGTGGCGCCAGAGCGCCACGTGCTCCACAGCGAAACCATAGAAACCCAAGGCACCCAGGAAGCAAGCATAGTGTTTCTCGGTTAAGGCTTCCGATACATATCCGCCACCGTGCCTCGAGGCACGAAGTGGAGCTACGCCCAGGCTACCATGTGTTCTCTGTTCTCTGCGCCCAAGACTCAGGGATGGTAGTATTCTAGCGACTGGGGCCCAACAAATCTCACATTTCCTGGTCACTCCCGCGCGGCTCGGGGCCCTCGCGGACTTAAGTGCAGATACAAAATACATATATAATATATATAATACATCTATACATTCCATATATTATATACTTATATATATATATACATATATATATATATATGTATATATATGTGTGTATATATATATATGTATACATATTCCCATGTATTATATATTTTTACAAGGCCGGGGACCCCGGAAAAGCGGCACACGGTGCCCCCCCCCAAAAAAAAAACGAATTTCGGCCTCCCCGAGCCTTTGGGGCGCTCCTGCAGAGTGCTCCGTGTCTGTCCTGCAAATGCGACGCGGAAGGAAAAAAAAAGGGGAGGGGGGGAAAACAAACAAAAAAAAAAACGACGGCCAAATAGGGCCCCGAGACACCCAAATATCGGCCCCAGACGCCCAATCTGGGCCCAAGACTGCCCAAGACGCGTCCAAGACGCCCCCAGAGACCCCCTAAGATGCCCTCCAAGAGAGCCCCGAAAGGCTACAATTGTTGAGTTTCATGTGTTTTTTTCGATGTGTTCTGGCCTTTTCGTTTTTCCCGCTTCCCGACGCTCCACAATGGCCCAAGAGGCGCCCCAGATCGCCCCAATACTGCCCAAGAGGCCCCCAAAAAGGCCCCACCACGGTCCAGGAGGGTTTTGAGACCGCCCAAGAGGCGCCCAAGACGGCCCAAGAGAGCACCAAGACGGCCCCAAGAGGGCGCCCACAAACTCAAAAACTCAATTTTCCGCCGCGAGAGGGCCAAAAAAAACCCGGAGAGAGCCCCATGAGGCCCCAAGAGGCTCCCAAGAGGCCCCAAGGAGCCCCTAAGAGGCCCCCTGAAGGCCCCCAAAAAATGCCAAGAACCCCAAAACACCCCCAAGAGGTTTCAAAACTGCCTCCCAGAGGGCCCCGAGAGGCGCACCGCGAGATCCCAACACAGCGGTCTCCCCCTCTCATTATCCCTTTTCTTCGTCGTCGCCTTCTTAGTCGTCGTCGTCGTCGTCGTCGTCGTCGTCGTCGTCGCCGTACTAATCTTCATTGTCTCTCCCCTCGTCCTTCACCCCTCCTCTTTCCTCCTCCGAGAGAGAGGAACCGAAAATGAAGGATCAAGGTTTTCGGATTGTTTGTTTTGGGGGGTTTTCCGGCCTGGGGATGTCCTTCAGTATCTGCGACTCGCCGGAAGCGTTTTGGGGGCGCCGGAAACGTCGCGAACGGCCCCCGGAACCCCAGACGTGGCCCGAAAACCTCGCGGGGGCATCAAAGGAGGAGAAGGAGGGGGGAGGGAGGAGGAGGACGAGGGGGAAAAGGGGGGGCGAGGACGAGGAGTAGGGGGACATGGAGGAGGGGGCGAAGACGAGGGGAGGGGGACGCGGGGGATTGAGCACCTGGACGTGGTGCCCTTGACTACCTTACCGGAGAGGGCCGGCCGAATCCGAGGAGCCCCTGGGGGATTTCAAAACTTGCGCCGCTTCTTGCACGACCTTCGGGCCCCCTTGGCGGCTCGGGAAAAACCGTTCCTAATTCGGGGGGGTTCTCCCACCCTTTGCCGCTTGACTCGCAGAGAGGCCGAGGCACCGCGCCGCGCCGCCAGGGATGGGGATAATGGGCAAAAATTAAGCGGAGAGGGGGGAGAGGAAGAGGAGGAGGAGGAACAGTAAGAGGAGGAGGAGGGGGAGGAGGAGGAGGAAAGGAAAGGAAAGGAAAAGGGGAAGGAGGAAGACGAGATAACGGAAGAGAGTCCAATCCGCTTCTCCAGAGATATGCTCGCAACTCCGGCCTCAGAAGCGCCTTGCTTCGCATCGGTCCCGCCGTTTTCGCTTGAGACATCGTCGCAGCTCTGGGGCCCGAAACACTCTCAGTTGAGGTGTTCCAGCCACTGTCGCCTGAGACACTCTCGCAAGTCTCACTTCGGAGGTGCCTTGCACCATGGTGGTTCGGCCAGTTTCGCGAGCGACTTCTCGCAACTCTAAGTTCAAGGATGCCCTGACCAAGAGGTGTTCACACCACTCCTCGCTTGAAACTTCCTCGCACGGCTGACTCTGGATATGCCCTCCCCTGAGCGGAGGTGTTCAGGCCATTTTCACCAGGGGCGTCCTCGCAACACTGACCTCGGCGACGCACTGTCCCATGGTAGTATGACCACGTTTGCCTGAGACCCTCGCCCCTTTAACTGGCGCGATGATATGAAAAATTGGTCAGGCCACTACCGCCTGATATACGCATGTGTATGCGCACACATAGTTACTCTGACCATTTGCATATACATGTACATATCCATACAAACGTATAGATGTACATATGTACGGTGCATTCATAGACGCATGTGTGTGTGCGCATGTACGCACGCTCGCACTCCGTTAGCGTGCGAATTCCAAAGGACCAAGGTGCATGGCGCGCAGCGCCAATGCAGTCTTGTGTGTGTATATATATATATATATATCCCTGCTGTGTGGAGCTCTATCCTCCTCCCCTCCTCCTCCTCCTCCCCTCCTCTTCCTCCTCCTCCTCCTCCTCTTCTTCCTCCTCCTCCTCCTCCCTCCCCCCTCCCCCTCCTCCTCCTCCTCCTCCTCCTCCTCCTCCTCCGCGTCTCTTTCCCTCCTCCTCCTCCGCCTCCTCCTCCCTCCTCCTCCTCCGCCTCCTCCTCCTCCTCCTCCTCCTCCTCCTCTCCTCCTCCTCCTCTCCTCCTCCTCTCCTCCCCTCACCTCCTCCTCCTCCATCCTCCTCCCCTCCTCCTCCGCCTCCTCCTCCTCCTCCTCCTCCTCCTCCTCCTCCTCCCTCCTCCTCCTCCTCCTCCCCTCCTCCCCCCTGCTCCTCCTGCCTCCTCCTCCTCCCCTCCTCCTCCTGTTCCTCCTCTTCCTCCTCTTCCTCCTCCTCCTCCTCCTCCTCCTCCTCCTCCTCCTCCTCCTCCTCCGAGAGAGAGAGAGAGAGGATGGGGAGGATTTTTGGAGCTGCGCAGCAGGAAGGATACCTATTTTTTTCGAGCTCTTGTTACCTCGCTGTCTCATGTTTGCGCCTTGGGCAGTGCCCTGTCGGTTTGTCGAGCGCAGTGGTGCAGGCGTCCGCTGCATGCCACCTGCGCCTACTGGTGCAAGCATGGCATGCTCTCGCGGGTGCGCTTGCAGCTGCTGCCGCCTTTTCGCTACACTGTCATCCTCCCCCCACTCTTTGACCAGGCTTCGACTCGTCTGCCTTACGACCGACCGACCGAGGGGGAGGATCTCTTCTCGACAGTCATGGAGGAGGGTGATGAGGAGGGTGGGGAGGAGCAGGAGGAGGAGAAGGAGAAGGAGGAAGTAGGGGGGGAAGCCCGCGCAGCCCTCCTCGCCCTCGAATCCCCCCTCCTCGCCCTCGGAATCCTCCTCCTCGCAGTCCTCCTGGAGGGGGCCCGCATAGAGGCCGCGCGGGGCGAGGAGGGGGCGGCGGAGGGATGCGAGGAATTATAGCAGGAGTAAGGATCTGATGTGTGACAAGAGCCGTTTGCGCAGGATGGGACTGGTGGGCGTCGGCCGTCTGCAAGACGATTTGAGTCGCGGTGCCAGTTCCATGATTTCCAAGCCCGTCTCGTTCTGGGCCGCGTCGGGTTCCAAGAAGCCCGCTCGCTGGTTGTAGGGGCTTCGTGCCGTGTCCTCGCTAGCGCGCGCGGCTACTGTGTCGCAGCGCTGCCCGAGAGCGCATGCTGGGCATGAATCGCGATCACCTGGGCAAGACACCCTGATCTCGCAGATGGTCCGATCCGGTCCGGTCCGCTCCGCTCCTCGTCCTCGTCCTCGTCCTCGTCCTCGTCCTCGTCCTCGTCCTCGTCCTCGTCCTCCCCCTCCTCCTCCTCCTCTTCCTCCTCCTCCTTGGCATTTATCGAATGCGTGTCCAGAACGCGCACGTTCTCCATGGTCCAATAATCGATGTTCGGGTCCTCTTCCCTGCAGTCGCTCAACACCTCGCGCGCTGGAAGCAGGAGGGGGGCGCGCGAAACCACTGAGCGGAAAGGGGGGTTCTCCTCCGCATCGTCCTCCTCCTCCCGCCTTCCCGTCCTCTGACCGCCTCCCGTCCCAGTCCCCCCCATCAATTCTCCACGCGTGTAATATTTGTTCGCGAGGGATTACCCACGTGAACGAAGGGATGTCCATGTTGAGAAGACATACGACAAAACATGTTGATGTTGTATTGCGTGGCGCAAATTAGGATGGGGCGTCCCGGATGGGGCGGCGATCGGCCGGGAAGATGGGGGAGTTGGAATCTATTCGAATAAGGAATAGGGATGGGAATCAAACTAATAAGCTCGAGCGAGACACGCGTGTGGCATGCCAATTCCCACCCGCCCTCCCACTACATAAGAAGCAGTGGTGGCACAACCGACGGCTGGGATCACATCGGCGAGCTGGCTTGGCACAGCTGACGCGGCCGCGACAGCAATTTCCGATGTGAGGTCCCCCGCTCGCCTCGAAGGCCGCGCAGACATTTCAGCACGAGTCGAGGATGCCCCAAGGGGACCCAGGAAGCTGCGAGAGGGCCCCAGGAAACCCCAGGACCCCAGGGAGCTACAGGAGGCCCCAGGAGTCCCATGAACGCCCCGGCGAGAGTCCTTCCCCAGGAGGCCCCAGGAAGGCCCACGAGAAGCCAGAAGCCCGTCCAGGAAACCCCAGGAAACCCAGGAAACAAAGGAAACTTGGCTGGCCAAACCCATCGAACGCGCAGATCGGCCAGCTCGTATGGCAGAATTATTGCGGCCACGATTGCGGTGGCCGATGGGAACTGGCCCGACGCGTCTCAAAGGCCGCGCCAGCGCGCGGGGCCCTCGGTGCAGGTCGGTGACTTGGGCGGGCGCGATAGCATGATGACGCCGACCACGGTGACGACATGATGAGGAAGGCGATGGCCCGCGATGATGGCGACAACGACGGCAAGGCCAGCGACGGTGCCGATGATGGCGACGACCCTGGAAGGATTTGGACATGCGCTTGCTGTGACGCGCGCGCATGTCGCCCGCGTGGCATTTGTTGCAAATGTGTCGCGCCCTGGGCGCATGACACAACATCGCAAATGCACCGCGCGGCGTGATGAGATCGCTCTTTTAGCAAACGACGGAATCGTGGGAATTGCATTATTGTCCATGAGTTCTGCGACCGCGCGCGGGCAGGATTTCTGAATATTTATGTTGGAAACATATTGGGTTATACTACGTTGAAGTGCTTGCACGCACCGCGTATTTGGTGGGATGTTGACATGCACGCGCGCGTGTGCACTTTGTGGTATCCGCTGCAAGGAACATCGACGTGGACGACAGGACGTCCTGACAAAACATGTTGGTGTTGGATTGTATGTTGCAGGTTCGGATGGGACGCCCCGGATGGGGCGGTGATCGGCCGGGGAGAGAGGGGGAGTAGGAGCAGATTAAAAAAAATCGCAATAGTAAATGTCGGTGCGAACGTAAAAATAGGAGTGGGAATACGGGCCAAGCTAGCCAGCTCGAGCGAATTAAGATGGCATGCCCATTCCCACCCGCCCTCCTACAACATAAGAAACAATGCTGGCGCAAGTGGATACCGAAATCACATCGGCCAGGTGGTTTGCCACAGCTGATGCAGCCGCGATGGCGGATCATTACCGATGGGACATGCCTGGCGCGTCTCAAAGACTGCGATGGCATTTTAACACGAGCCCGGCCAGGAGGCCCCAAGAAGCCTCATGGGGGCTCGGGAGGCCTCAGGAGGCCCCAGGAAGTTGCAGGAAACCCAATTGACCCCCAGGAAACCCAACGATGCTTCAGGAGGGCCCACCAAGCTCCAGGAGGTTCCAAGAGGCTTCACACATTCTAGGAGATGTCAAGAAATCCCGGGGGATCCACGGGGCCCTGGGGAAACCCCGGGAAGCCCAAGGATGTTCCAGGAGACCCTGGGAGGTCCAAGGGGGCCCAGGCGTCCGACGAATTGGTGAGCGAAGAATGCGAGCCGCGCCTTAGCAGGA